CCATATTTAACAGTTTAATATCCAGCTGTGTCCACCAGAGGTCGCAGCTGCTCCGGATCAGATCTTTGACTTGTCAAAGAGCGTGCTGTTGCCACGGTAACTCCACAGAACGTTACGATAGGCGTAAAAAAATAGCTAAAAGGGAATCGGCGGCTAGAAAGTGGGTGATAAGGGTTTTATATGCCGGAGCAGCCTCTTTAAATTTAAGCTCGACGCACATAAAGGAAGTTCCCAAGTGCGTTTCCAGACTCACAAACCTGTCAGTCCTCCTGTTAAACAACAACTCCATCACAGGCCTTCCCACTGAGCTGCTCTCCTTACATCAAGTGAGTCTTCTCGCTTCGTTTGTTTGCTCGCAGCTTATCTATTTGCTGGAAAATTGCCAAGGTGCCACTTGAAATGTTTTACACATCACGCAGATTTGTGATTAAATACTTTTCCTCCTGCAACGCCCGAAAGCTGGCTGAGCTGAATTTAGGAAATAATGCCTTGAAGGAGTTTCCCGCTGTTCTGGGCCATCTGGAGTCCTTGAAAAAGCGGTACCTGTTCAGAAACCAAATTACTGTAGTGCCACCTGATGTGATAGGTAGGCTCTTACTGGTTTTGTATGATTAACACAAAGCTCCAGTCATCTGTGTGTGTGTGTGTGTGTGTGTGTGTCTGTGCAATATTCATGTTTTACAGGTGGCTTCAAGAACCTTGTCCTCAATCTGAACCACAACCAGATTCACAGACTTCCGCCAGGGATTAAAAGGTGCGTTATGACTCCCTATATCTGCAATTATAGGTTCTGAAGTCAACAAATCATTTAATGACAGTTTAATTCTGATACACATGTGCACACATTGTGAAAATGCTGCATGTAAACCCCCCCTCCTCTCAAATTCAAGTCTGACTATGCTTGAACACCTCAGCGTGCTGGACAATAAGCTGGAGGAAGTTCCTGCAAAGCTTGGTCATCTCACTCGCTTGTCTGAGATAAACCTAAACTTCAACAAGCTGTCCTGGCTTCTTCGGCAGCTGTACCAGTGCAAAGAGCTGACAAAGCTGTATATGCAGCCAGAAACTACTTGACCAGCCTACCAGAGGAGGGTTCTCATAAAATCCCACACCAGTTACCTGTTGAGTTTTCCATGTTTTTTCTTTTCTTTTCTTTTCTTGTTTTAGTCAGCCAATCAAGAGTTTTAGGAAAATCAGTAATTTGATTGGCCACTCACACGATCTAAATTTCCCTGAAGTTAATTTTTGACTGAAAATAGTGTTCCTATATTGATAAGGTAGCTTTTAAGATATTTGTGTCAAGCTGTATCTCCGCTTCTACTTTTGTACTGTGAAATAACTTGGCCGTAACGGAACTGCACTGTGAAGGGAACAGGTTTGTGCAGTGTGAGTTCATGACTTCGGTGCAGTATGCTGAAGTACTTATATTAAAGGTAAATGTCAGTCTTTTAAAAAAATTGATATTTTGCTCCTTTAATGCTGGCTTTGTTTCCATATCACTGTTTCCTTTTGTACCAGTAGGAAGTGGTTGTTAGGTTTGTATTGCGGGAGGACAGAAACAGGTTCTCTCTAATCCATGTGATGCTTCCCCACTATCCAAATCTAAAGACGTCTGCTGGATACCGCCAGTTCTTGTGCGGTCTGCTGCAGCCCCTTCCTCACCACCTGGCTGCATTGTGTCCATTATGTAAATCTAAAGAAGGTGAATCCATTGTTTTTTCCCTATTCTAGTTGCATAATTTCAACAACATAATTCTGTGACACCTGCTAAAGCAGATATACATTAGTATGCAATACGGCTGAAAAATGCTACATACATAATGACTGAAGTAGGTAAATGAGCTCTGTTGCCTTTGTGTTACAGAACATGAAAATGAGAAGTATGCGCACTATTCTAGTGCGTGCCCTTCTCTGTTCATACAGGTGCTTTAACACAGAAGGACACGCCTACTTTGGTGTTGCTACAAGATAAATACAAGTTTATTTAAAGATACAGTCTTCTTTTTCATCTCATACATTTTGTTTCATCTCTTAAACTGAAGGCACAAAATGTTTCAATGAATATCAAAGTGATGTGTGTAGGTCTGGAAGCGTACATGGATTCATTCCTCAGTGATTTTGTCCTTTAAATTTATTTGACATTTCACTCTGTAGCCACTAGATGGCAGCAAATGAACATTGATAGGACCCTCGTTTCAATGGGGCTCTAAAATGCAGGCTTTATGCCAGCTACAACGATGTAAAATCCTTGAAAACAGATAAAACAACACAATTAAAAAAAAACTTTATTTACAAATACTTGAACATAAAACCTTTGTGAGAGAATACCTGTCACACCTGTTTTTCTCAGTAAAGAGATAATTCTGTGGAGTCCTTCACTGGGTTTAACCCGCGCAAAATCTATATGAAGACCCGTTTACATTTAGCAATGGAATATTTTATTTTTCTGTCTGTGTCCACCTTGGCACATCCTTTTCCCATCAGCGCTGATCAAACTGCACAGCTATAGCTGCCCCATCTCTATCGGCTTCTACAGAAAGTGGCATCTGTTCCAACCTGCCAGACAAGAGAAAGATAGAGAGAGGGAGGGAGGGCTAGAGAGAACTTCATTTCTAGCAAATTAATTTCCCATCCACGCCTCCAGAGCTTACTAGCTCGTTCGCTAGCTGCTGCGGCCGCTGCTGCGTGTGTCTGCTGAGTCGGAGCCTCATGCATAATGCATCAGGTTTAATTGCAAACCCAGAAACTAATGACTTTGGACTGGTTAACAGCAGGGGAGCCATACATCTCGAGCAAACTGAATGAAAAATCAGCTCAGAGGAGAGAAAAAAAGGAGCCTAGCCCCTAATTGATGAATAATTGAAGCGGCGAGCTACAGGGCATAATTGTGACATTTTGTTTCAATCAATTTCCAAGTGGTGTGGGCGAAAGTGCACTTAAAGGAAAAAAGCAATGACAATGAATGAGAATGAAAGGGAGAGATGGAGAGCGCGGACGGTGATGGAAATGGACGTTGTGTCTTCAGTCATTGTTACGAAATTTGCTGGAGCAAAAAGGCAGGACTGGACCAAACGCTTTTATCTCTCTCCCTCTCTCTCTTTATAGGTTTATCTGTCAGACCCCTGCTTTGCTGTAGTTGGGTTGCTTTTAAAAAAAATCTCAGCTAATGGATCCGTATTCTTGAGTCATTTTCACGTACCACATCCGTTTTAAAAAGAAAGAAAGAAATGTGAAGTTGCTCGAGTGGACATGCTTTTATTTCCTTTTTCAGTCAACCTAATTAGTTTATTGGGAGAGTACGAGGGCCAGGTCACAGAACTGAACACCACGCAAGTCAGTCTTGAACTATCGTGTGAGGCCACAACGCCTCGTGATTTTATTACTGCACACGGGTGCTGTGATCTCAGCTACACTTACATGTAAAATGATCACTCAGAGAGAAAGTTAGGTGCAGCACAAGGTCTTTTACCTTTTCTCTCCCACAGCGCACTGCTGCTCTCTGTCGCTCTCTGAAGCCTTACTGGCCGCTCGACCAGTGGGCGCAACAGAGAGAGGAAGAGTGCTGTTCCTCTTCCAGGAGACACTGCTACACTATGGAGCTAGTATTAGGTTAGGGCTACGAAACTAAAACTATTGACCAGCTTTATATCATTATTTACATCTTCACAATGGACAAAAATCTATGTATATATTTGAGTACTTTATAAGGCCACAACTGATAAATAGGTCATTGCAGCTGGCATCATACTAATGGGTGAAAGGGCAACAGTGTGTGCCTTCTTGCGGGCAGCAGATGTTGGGTCCTGCAGCAGTGCAGCAGCAGCCGCACTCGCTCAGTGGCCTCAGGACTTGTCTGTTAGTGGGTCTGGTGTCTGGTCTCTGGTGT